CTGGGCCGTGGCAGGTGCTCAGAGGTGTTGACTGAAGGGAACATCAGAATGGCGTCACCCTGCCCCAGACCAAGGAGGCCGGAACCCTGCCCACCTCCCCTCTCCACCTCAGAAGCTAAGGTCATGATTTCGGTGTCTCCCCAGGACATCGCAGCGGGGCCCTGAGCGGGAAACGAGGCCTGCTGTGCACAGCCATCGTGGGCCAAGGGCTGGAGACAGCAGGGCTCCAGGCACGGCTTGTGGGTTGGTGGCCTCCACACAGACAAGCGGCTTTTGGAGATTTTCAGATGAAGGAAAAACAAACACACGATGTTCGACAAGCCACTCTGGATGAGCTCATGGCAGGACTGAGCTGTCTGGTGAATTAGGAGTGCTGGCTTGGCCACTGCCGATTCTAGCCCAAACCCCGCAGTTTGGCCTCTGGCGCACTGGAGCAGCAAAGGGAAGAAAAGCAGCAGGCTCACCAACGAGAAGGGACACGAGGGCGCCACCAACCGGGCCCCTTCCTGACCCAGATGGTGCCCGTGGGAGGTAACATGCTCCTGGCTCAGCGCCACTCCCCTGGGTCAGCTGCTGGCTGTCCTGGGCAGACCCATCGCCAGTTAACCAGAGATTTTCCACGGATGTTTAGCGGATGATCCAAGCGGATCAGATGGTGGTTACTTGAAAAGAGGCCTCTGTCATGGGAGCGACTTCCGGCTCGAAGCTGAACGTCAGCCTGTGAAGTGCAAGGTGCTGGGCAATGACTATGGGCCGGAGGCCACTAACATCTTCAGAACATCAGAGTCTCCTGGGGACTGAACACACACCTCACGAAGTATAAAACACAGCCGGTCACGGGTGATGTCTTCTCTAGTATGCTAAACATAAGGTATTTATTTCTTCAAACTAAACCCTTTAAGGGTTAGACAAGGGAATGAACTCTCCTTGGGGCTCCTCTTTTACTCACACCCCCACATGCTTAGAAGGAAACCTATGTAATGAACCCCATAAAATGCTGTGAGGCTGCCCTGGCTGGTGTGGCTCAGTTGGCTGAGCGGCATCCCATGCACCGTGAGGTCAAGGGTTCGATTCCCGGTCGGGGCACATGCCCAGGCTGTGGGCTCAATCTCCAGTGGGGGGCGTGCAGGAGGAAGCTCACCGATGTTTCTCTCTCATTGACGGTTATCTCTCCCTCTCCCTTCCCCTCTCTCTAAAATCAATAAAAAAATATTTAAAAATAAAATAAAATAAAATGCTGTGAGGCTAACTGGGAGGCCACAGTGTGACAGGACGGGCTTCTGGAATATATCGGAATACTCCGTGATGTTTACTTTTAACGTGCAGTCGGCTCTGCTATCAGACTCAGGAATGCGCACGCGTGCTGCAGGTGGGTTGTCAAATAATCTTTTTACAAGGCCCTTGCTTGCTCCATAAAGCCTGCCTCTTTTAGTCACCTTTAGAAATGTCCAAGGTCGCCTGCAGATATTTTTAGCAACTCTGGTGCTTGGGAAACTTCATGCTTCCTAAGCAAGTCATTGTTTATAATTAAGGATCCTGAGCTCATGAGCAAGCCGGGATGGCATTCCTCATGGACTTTTACAAGCCTTTGTTGAGGCATTAAGGGAGTTACGGCCCCAGTGCTCCAAATCCCATGACCTTATGGTAGGGCAAGAGTGCCAATGACCTCATTTCAGCCCCCGCATTGCGGCCGGAGGACGGTCTCTCTACCATCCTAAAAGATCTCTGGGAAAGTGGATCCTATAAATGCCTTTGGAGATTCTGGCAAGAAATTCTTTCACTGATCTATCCCCCTAGGTCAACTGTTTCTTCTGTCTAGGCAAGAGCCCCTTCCTTCTTTCCTTTATTTCACCCCTCCATCCGTCCATCCCTCCGGTCTTCATAAAACACATACTAGGTGCCGGGTCAAGCTAAGCACTGGGCCGAGAAAATTCACGAAGCACGAAGGTCTATATGATCAGCACAGAGAGTGTTCCGTGTGCGAAGAACGCACTTGCCAATCAAGAAACAGAATTAACAGGGAGCCTGAGCTCCGACCCTGCCAGAGGCATCCTGTGTGGAGACAGGCTTGTTTTCCAGAACCTCCACCTTTATAAAACACAACAACTAAACGCAACAAAATGAAACCAAGAAACAAACAACTCGTCCCCCAACCACAATTTCTAAATTCAGGGCAAACCTCTCCATCCAATTGTCTGGAATGCTCTCCAGAAAACTTAGGTTGATTTCACACAAATGTCATTGTCTCTGACTATGAAACTCATGTAAGAATTTGGAAAACGCAGGAATAATCTAGAAAAAAGGAACCAATAATCTACTACACAGAAATAACAATGATGAATATTCTATATACAATGTTAGTGTGTAGACCCACTATTCATTTATAATTTAAAAATAAAATTGGTGTCCAGCTAGGCCTGGCTCAGCGGTTGAGCATTGACCTAGGATCCAGGAGATCGGGGTTCAATTCCTAGTCAGGGCACATGCCCGGTTTGCGGGTTCCTCAATCCCCAGTAGGGGACGAGCAGGAGGCAGCCGATCAATGACTCTCTCATCGTTGATGTTTCTATCTCTCTCTGTCCCCCTCCTTTCCTCTCTCTGAAATTAATAAAGATATGTTTAAAAAAATAAAAAATAAATAAATAAATAAATAAAATTGGTGTCCTGGTGTTTATGTTGTATAGCCTGCTACTGTTTTTAACACTTCTTGGTACTTTGCCTCATTCCTAAGTGGGCGCTGAAGCAAGCTTATCTAATGGTTGTCCGGAGTTCTAGAAATAGATGGTTCCAGGCTACTTCGAACCAGTTTTCTATCATTAAAGTTTAGGTGAATTCAGTTTTCCTTAGAATAAATTCCTAGAAATGGAATTCCTGTATATTAAGGAATGCACATCTTAAGGCATTTAATACACACAAGAAAACTATTTGACAGAAGGTTGATGCTGACTTACAGTCAGTCCCACCAACAGTACATAAAAGTGTCCATTTTTCTGAGCCTTACCAACACCGTGTATTTTGTCTTTTTACTTTTTGCTTTTGGATAGGTAAGAGGAGATGGCATCAAATTATTTTAATTTGTAGTTATGCGTAATAGGAGACTGGGTTGTTCCCAAATGCTTAGTGTGTGTGTTTATATACAGGGTGTCCCAAAAAATCTATATACACTTTAACAGCTGATAGCTCTTACATTTTGAAAACGAAATATATTTTAATAAACACTGCCTTTAAAATTATTCAAGTGTGTACACATTTTTTTGGGACACCCTGTACGTGTGTGTGTATTATAATATACATACACACACACTTTAATACCCTTTTCATATCCTTTGCTTAATTTTCCCCATGGAGTTAAAATCTATGTTTTGGCCACTTTCCTCTTTTGGTTCAAATTGTCCAAATTGTGCCTCCTGGAGTTAACCTAAGTAAGATGAATTCCTCCTTCATGTGACACCCCCTCAAATACTTAAAGACAGAACTCATGTCTCTCTTTCTCCAAGATAAACACCCCCGGCTCTTTCTACCATTCCTCTTGAGGCCAAGTTTCCAGGGCGGCTGTTGAAGACCTAATGCGTAATAAGTCCCACGGCCCTGCCGCCCTGTCCACGCGACAGTGTGCAGAACCCCGTGCGACTTCCGGAGACCTACCCCGAGCCACCTCTGCAGACTCTGTGGATGTCGCCCCTGCCTGCACCCTGGGCCCGGCCTCCTCCTGCTCACCCACAGGACGCTATGACTTAGTCTTACCATGATCGCAGAATTGCTCGTGGGATGTTCTAGGCGTGGAGCCCAAATAAAGTGGTAAGAAAGAGAGCACATCAAGGCCAGAAGCAGGAAGAGGAACTGGCCTGGTGTAATGACAGTGATTAATTCGAATGAGGAAAGCATTAAGAAGGAGACGGTTATCTTGGAACGGGGTCCCAACAGGCAGTGCCGATGCAGCCTGGTCGGGGGCCTCCTTGGACCTGGGGGCAGGTAGGGACTCTTCCCTCTGTCCCCAGTGCTGACTGCCTCATACACTCCTGCAGTCACCTGTGTACCTGCTGGTGCCCCACCCACACGCCCTTGTGAACACAAGGGATTGGCCTACATCTGGTGCCCGGCAGCCTTGCCCAACACCTGGCAACTGTGGCTTGGCGGGGACAACGCTCTAACCAACTGAGCTACCCAGCCAGGGCAAAATCTGCCATCTTAATGTGTACAGTTCAGTGGTTTTTAGTTGCAGAGTTGTGCAAGTATCATCACCAACAAATTTTAGAACATTTCTGTCACCTCAAAAAGAAACACAGTCCATATGAGCAGTCATACTCCATTTTTCACCTGGAAACCACAAACCTACTTTCTGTCTCGGTGGATTTCCCTATTCTGGATGTTTTGACAAATAAAGTCAAATAATGTGGCCTTTTGAGTCTGGTTTCCTTCACGTAGGGTGTTTTCAAGGTTCACCCACATGATAACACGAAACAATACTTCACTCCTTTTTATTGCTGAGCCGTGTTTCATTGCAGGGAGAGATGACCTTTCATTTATCCATTCATCAGTTGATGGGCACATCTGGGCTGTTTCCATTTTTGGCCAATACGAATAATGCTGTTATGAACATCCACATACATATTTCTTCTTGTGTTTTCGACTTTCTTAGGTACATATCTAGGAGTGAAGCTGCTGGGTCCATCATATGGTCACTCTGTGCTTAACATCTGGAGCAACTCAGACTGTTTTCCAAAGCAGCTGCACCACTTTACATTCCCACCAGCAACATATGAGGGTTCTAATCACTCCAGGTCCTCGCCAACACTTGCTATGGTCTATTTTGACCATCCAAGTGAATATAAGAGGTACCTTGTTGAGGTTCTGATTTGTGTTTTCTCTAAGGACCTGGACAAAACTATCATTTTAAATGTCACTTGGATTCTGCAGAGTGCTGTGGGTGACAGACCACAGAAACGGCTCACAGGGGTGTTCAGTTCCCTGGAACACACACGTACACAGGTTCTGCTTACCTGCTGGAGGCCAGGCCTTGATATATCCCGTGCAGTGGACCACAGCATACTGGGCTTCCCCTTCTTTCACAGGGCCAAGGCCATTCCTACAGGAAGAACATCTGTGAAATTGCTTTCAGTCCCTGAGGTGAGGCAAGGACACCGACGGCTCCTTCCATATCTAAGCTACTAGGGTCACTTGTTCGCCTGGTGGTTTCAAATCTTGACTTCCCACTACCCTGTTTCTCCTCTTTCCACATGGTCTGAAAGTCCAAAATAAATTCCACCCAACTCCCTTTCTCATCTCAGCCCCGGAAACCTGATGTATGGGGTCTCCTGGTCCTCTCTACACTCAGCCCCTCTAGAAGTTCAGCTACTCCTCAGCTTAGTGCATTCAGCTACCTGCCAGCACAGCCCAGAAACACCCATTGGAAAGCCCTACTGACCTGAACCTTTTCCTCATGGTGGTTAATCTGCTCAGAGGGAGGTGGTCCAACGGAGCATTTCCACACCTAAGAGTCGACAAATACATTAGAGTAAGTGAAGGCCACTGGTGAATTAATAAAACATACAGGCTACAGACCAGGAGACGGGCCTTATCTGATGCTAACACATGTATCTGGGCGAGCCCTAAGCCGATTTCCTTCCAAAGTGCAGAAGCAGGCGCGCATGGCTCTGAGGTCACACGGTCACTGCAGGAAAGGAGAGTGGGACCCCGTTGGCAAGGTGCATGGAAATGGTTTCAGGGCCCAGCCCAGAAGCTAGGGACCTACAGAAAGACTCATGGAGATGCTGGGCAAACTCGGTCCTGCCGTGAAGCCGGGTGGCTTTCAGGAAGCAGGGGGAGGGGGGTGATGACAGCAGCGGTGTCTCTTCAGGCCTGAGCAGACACATCTATGCAAAGCAGATGCCGCCAGCTGATGAACAGAAGCATCTTCCTGGGCTTTAGTTCACAGCTGGGGAAACACCCGTCGCCTGCAACGTCCTGGCACCAGGACTAACCAGACAGCCGCAAGCCTGCTGACGGCAGAAGACAGAGTGGGGACACAGGGAGCGACCGGAACAGAATCAGATTTTCCTGTGGACCCTCCTCGGGGATGCGGGGGTGTCCCACCGCCCGCTCTGCTAGGACCCTTTCTGCCTCGCTTCTCAATGACCCGCTCAGCATCCCGGCTCTGATGGCTCCTCGGTGTGGCCACAGGGTACGTGCCTTTCCACGTCCCAACTATATGACGAGTGGTGCCCTGGCCGTCTTAATGTTCAACACAGCAAAGAGACGAGTTAATTATGCTCTGAGACCTGGGACAGCTGCCAGCACTAGTGTGGTGGTCACGGATGGCAGGGGCCATCTATGACCTGCTGCCCAGGATGCTGGCGTGGCCCTCTGCCCAACTGTGCCCAGCGTCTTGCTGACACTGAGCTGCTTCAGTTGCAGGGGAAGGTCGTGCCCAGCAGACGGCAGTGCCGCTCACTTCACAGGTAAATCCAGGAATGTGGGGAATGAGACAGCTTAAAATGGGAGAAGGAAGGAGGTGGTCCTTCCAGGACAGACCAAGGAGTCGCAGGCTCATGTGCTGCAGTCAAGAAGAGAAAGTCACCCGGGTGAACCCGAGGTGGCGTGAGTGACCGTAGCTGAGCCCACTGAGAGTCTCCCTGGCAGACCAGAAGGGGGTAAGCCCACCACAGCCACCGGGTGGCCCACCGCTCGCCCAGACAGACCTCATCCTGCAGATGAAGGACCTCCGCGAGCCCATGCACATCCGCATGGACGACTGCTGCCCTTCCTTCTTGACCGTCCCGGTCTTCAGGTCCAAGATCCGGCCTAAGAGAGAAAGCAGGACACACACATAAGCCTCTGCCTCTGACTG